GATTATGAGCTTTTATGTCAACCATAGCAGATTCAGTCAGATACGGTGATTTGATGTGCATAAGCTTAGTCTTGTATGGGTTTAGGACGAGGCCTACATCGTGGCATCATGCCTCTTTTAGGTTTTTTTTCCCATATGTAAGTGAAATGAAATGACAAAGTTTATTATTTATTTTGCATCCGAGTAAGATATCTCGGGATTTATCTCAAAACAAGTCATTACGTGTGTACCGATACTCGCGCCCACCTACCTCTTACCCCGCAGGCGTCCCGCGAGTTAAATGGTTTGCCTATAGATACCTATTTGGTGCAGTCGTGGGACACAATATTATTTATTTTAATGTTGAATATCCTATTGTTTGTAATTGTAAGTTTAATCTAATGTTTATTTTAATATGTAGTCATGTGATTAATGATTATATTTTAGTGTCCTATTGAGCATGCGCCGAATAATGCGGGACGCCTGCGGGGGATGAATTTGAAATTAAATTTGAATTTGATTTATGTGTTTATATATTCTAATTAAAATTAAGTTAACTACTTATCAACGTAACTACGCGTCAACGAAGGCATTAGTGGAGGATTAAAGGAAGACGGCGATATAGGCGCGCGCTTCTTCCTTTTCTGATCTTAAATTTACTTTATTATTTTTCTTTAGTTTTTGTTTTACATTATGCACCACTAGATATTTGCAGTGCAATAAAATTTTCGATAATTTAATTCAAACAGGACATTCATAACGTCTTAAGCGTCGTGAAGAAAACAGGGTGAAAATTAAGTTATTATATTTTTATTTAAAATGGTTCGCTACCTTTGTTTGTTAATTGCCAGTTGTTGTTAATTGTTTGTTGCTTGTTAAATTAAAATATTTTTTTTTTGTCGCACACAGTCACGCGGAAATGTTTGCCTGTATGGGAGCGTGGTGTTGCTATGCTAACGATTGTGGAGTTCCAAGTCACACAATGGAAGGTCTATTCGCTTCAGCGGTGCCGTTCCTAATGCCACATGAAATACCTGTAAGTAACATATTGATATTATTGACTTATTTAAAAAACCATATTTCCCTAACTCAAATTCGATATTTATTTTTAGGAACCGCCGTTACTATGTCATGCTGCAGCACATTTACTTCTTAGTTTATCGAAAAATGTGAAGGTCACAAACGATCCTGTACCGCTAGTTGGAGATCTGTACAATCACGCACAGCGTTCACTACATTATTTAGAGCCAAAGGTGAGTAACGAAATGCCGAAATTGGACCGCTAAGATCTGTCCGTCAGTCAGATAATAGAAGAATATTAAATTAGTATTTTTTTTTTAACTTAGCAGGCATTCAAGTTGAGAAATGGGGCCTTGCAACGTCACAGTTTTGTAGAAAATGTACAAAAGCGTGACGTCATGTAACATTTTAACTGAATGTATCGTCTTAATGTAATGAATAGGAAAAAATATGTTTTTAATATTTTTCAACAATCTAACTGATGGAAAAACAAAAAAATGTAGTCGTCATCCCTATTACGAATATCATAGTCTTCAATGATATTTTTTGTGAACACAGACGGCAGCGGTGGTCCGCGAGGCGTTACTATCTTTGTTGTTGGCGCGCAGTTCCGTGTCTAGTGTGGGCAGTGGTGGGGGTATGTGCGCGGGTGGAGGGGGTGTGGGCGCGGGTGGGGAGGCGGCGCGGGCGCTGCTGGCTGCGTGGACGGCGCCCCTGCCGGCCGCGGGGCCCGCTGCGGCCCTGCCCCCCCTCACTGCTCTCCTGCACGCTTTCGCACACGCTCCTACTAATGCGAAAAAGGTATGAATTATCTCTTTCTGTTATATTTACATGAACAAAAGTGGAAAGATTGAATCAAAAAAGCATGCATCGATTGTCTATTATCTAAATAACTCGCATTCGAAAATGTTACATATGAGTAATATTTCTCAGATTCCGAGTATGTAGCTAACGCTATTTTGGTAATAAAATCGGAAACAACGTAGAACAACAATAAGGCCCGAGACAATATAGGAAATTTTGTTTTTTTTTTTATATATATATACCCGGTCGCAAATTGATTCTGCAGATCAGAGATCTTAACACCTTGTAACTGCCCCACTCGGCCAAGGAGGAGGAATATGCTCCAAAACTACTGAATCGATTTTAAAAATAGGGTATTTGACTAACTTTGAAATATTGATTTAATTATTCTTTATTACATAATGAACACATTACATTAATATTTCGGGGAAATTTACTGATGTATAAATAAAAATCAAAGTTCAAGTTTCAATTTCCGAAACCGCGCAAAATACGCTATGTCTCTCGTACGCCGCCATTTCTAGACGTATAACGTCACACGCTAGTAAATAAACAAACCTTATCATACTACGTGTGACGTCATCGGAGTTTCAACCACTTATAAGGCGTTTTCCTCTCAGATAAGACGTCAAATGTATTCTTTATTATTTTATGTAATTTGGAAAAATTATACATTATAGAGGTATTTTATTTAAAATAAAGTGAAAACATTTGTTATTACGCTATTATCTCATAGTATGACCACAGTTTTTAATATATTTTTAATGTTGTTAATATTCTTTCATCTGTGGGAAGCTACATCATACGCGGATTCATAGGCTGTAAATTACGCGATCGAAGTTGCGGGAAGACACCTAGTCTATTTCTAAAGGAATTATCGTATTCAGATAATAGCGGAGAGTATGCAAGGTGCGGCAGAGACCTCGCTGCGAATGTTATGCGAGCCGTCGTACGCGTCCGCCGAGACTGAGATCACGGAATTTTTCTTTGCGCTGTTCACGGCGCTGTTGCCGCAACTCGGCAACTTCGCCTTCACCGCCATTGATGTATTTCTCGAAGTTGCTCAAAGGTAAAGTGAAGTTTATACAACTATATCATGATCGTCTTAACGTCTCCACTGATGAAACACAGACAATCAGTGTGGAAGGAATCGAAAACGGATAATGGGCCTTGGCCTATTCTTCTGGTGGATCATGATTAGTGTTGCCAAATTTTAATAGAACCAACCTGTACAGGTTTTAACAAATCTAGGGCAAGGGGTATAGTTTGAAAGATTTATAATATTTATATTTACATTGCTTTAGAACAGCATGAGCTGACTGCGTCTTGTAGCATGCATAGCGAACGTCACAAGAGGGGAATGCAAGGCGCAGGAGATGTTCGCAATATTTTATTTTTTAAAGGCCGGCAGCGCGCTTGTAGCTCCTCTGGTATTGCAGGTGTCCATGGGCGTAGGTAATCACTCACCATCAGGTGATCTGTCTGTTTGTCTGCCCCCTATCACATCAAAAAAAATACTTTTCATAAATACCGGAGAAATTCTTGTTTTCCTCTGGAAATTAATCATTATTAAAGGTTGGTAACCCTAGTCGTTACCCAGGGCCCGGTGCGTAGTGATAAAGTATTAACGAATGCAGATGCATCCGGAAAGGCTTAACGTAGCTTTCGAAGCGCAAAGTAGACCGAAAGCTCTAGCCATTAAGCTCGTCATATGACAATAGTATATAGGATACAATATAAATAACCTGCTTAAGTTTCAATTTATACATGTGTCACGGATGATATTATAGACGTTTTGTAACGTTTGTTGCTATTATTTTGCCGATTTTTTTAAATTTTAATATAACTCCGTATTGGTTTACCAGAACGATCAAATTATCGGCTGAATAAAAATCGATAGTGTGTGCTGGCTCTAACGGATCTTGCCTGTAGATATTCTGAGAAGAATTAAACTAAAATTGTGTCACAGTACAGCATTGTTGCCAAACGGATTTTAAAAGGAGTAAAATGTGCAATAAATTAGTTGATTGGGTAAAAATATGTTTTAAAAAATTTATATGCTCCTTCGATAAACAATACAACATATGCTTTCCTTTTATGAAACGATGCAAATCTACCTGATGCATATTAAAATATGATAATTGTCCTGCGGGATTTTAAATAAACGGCAGAACGCTAACAGCTATCTTCTCAAAAGTTTAATATACTATTACCGATAATTATACTCATGCTTATTATATTTATAATATTGCTTAAAGTAATTATAAAAAAAAACAAATATTATTTAAATAGCGCGTGACGTCACGCACTTCTTACTCATATCAGAACTTAGAGAGTTCAACCTTATGCATCATAAATCGATATTCCTTTTAGAGTCAACGGAACTCTCATAACATTACAGAAGTAGCGTTTACTTTTATTGTTAGAATTTAACTTATTATATGAATGATATATTTTTTTAATATATCTAAAATAGAAATATAAAAACGTTTTCTACGCTCCTATTAACATGACATCTGAAACCTGTACGCCTAATCTGTATGACCTCAAACTACAAATCCGTTTCAAAAATTTGAATTGTTTTAATTTTGTTGAAATCATATCCGTGAAAACTATTTCTGTATCAAAGAAAGTGTGTTAGGTCCTACCTCTGTTACAACATATATGAAATATTCATAAACGTTCAAAAGAAGCAACTATGTGGTTATCGCACTCTTCGGATACCGACGTGTTATATGAATTACCGAGATTCCTTTTTCTGTAGAGCTAGTGCGTTACTAAACGATTTTGCCATCAAATATCCTTTAATTGATATACTTTTAACAAAAAACCTGCAATTAAAATGCGATTGGTTACCTACTCTTTTGAACAATAAATATTAATTTATTTGTTAGCTTTGTTTTTCCTTTTGTAATTATAAGTGAAAACTTGTAAATGGCTTATAGATGTATAATTAATTTCTATTGTGTATTTACAGCTGTAAGTTTTCCTAACTAAAATTAAAAAAGGATAAAAAATGTGTTTCTTTGGAGTCGTAGTAGCATTTCCATAATATATAAAATCGAGTTATCGGGGAAACAGATCGATCCTTAGCAGTAGCGGACTAACCTCATCGGAGGCCATGGGCGACGACTTTTTCCAACCGGGGCAGAAACTTGATATTGCGTTTACAAACAAAACGCATATATTTTTAACTTATGATTTTTGCGGATGGCTGTAGCCATTTAGAGGCCCGAGTCGGACCGCCCCCTCTTAATCTGCCACTGGTCCTCAGGTGTCATGTTAGTTCGTCGTTGTGTGTTGTTTTGCTAACCGGTGGCGGGTACCGTTCAAGGGGTGGCGGGGACAGTAGCCTGGAGCGTCTGGTCGAGTGCGTGCGCCTGGGCGTGGAGTCCGGCGGCGGGGGCGTGCGCGTGCGCGCGGTGCTCGCGCTGCTGCACGCGCACGCGCTGCCCCGCGCGCACCAGCACGCGCCCGACCTAGCGCGCGCTGCGCACAGGCTACTAGCCAGGTAATACTATAGTCTTTCACATAGCATGGGTACGGTGACGTTTGGGATTTGAAGTTTTAAGTGATATGATAATAAATATATATATATATATATATATATATAAACAAGATATTATCAAGTTCATTTCTAATACAGAATATCGATTTTTAGGTCAATGTATAAAACAGGATTTGGGAAAAGATATTTATTCATCAACAAGATGAATCCGAGTCAGAATAATTCAAAATCTCATTACAGTTATGTTAAATTGTTAAGACAACAATAATAAAAAAAATCTCAAGTGAATACTGAATACATATTTCGATTTAAACGATTTTATTGATTCGGTCTCTATTAAAAAAACGTTCCGATTTTTGTTACAAGTATTAATGTTTTAACCTCTTCGGTTCCGTCCCTTATAGTTCGCATGAAAGTAAACATCTGGCGGCGGCTTGAAATAAAAAAGTGTGTAATCGATAATTATAATAATCAACATGAATTATTATTATATATATTTTTAATTATCAATATATAACCATTATAATCGAGGTATAAAAGACGTATGTTTCTTAAGTAAAAAAAACAATAATCACGCGTTTGAAAGTAGTATACTTTCTTTCGCGCCATTTTTTCTCCCGATCTACACACGATTTTGATAATTTTTGTGAAAATATTATAACACTTACATTGTGGCTTGCGAACCGAAGGCTCGTGGGACCGAAGAGCTTTAGCCCGATTACCTATATATAAATATTAGTATCTAATATTAGTATAAAATATAATATTGATATTAGTATCCCTAAAAAGCACGAAACATTATAATATTTAATCAAATTTGCATTCACAATGCTATACTGAAAAATGCTTAATTAATCCACATTGTCCCTGGCATTTTGAGATGGGACTCGAATCCATGACCTTTCGCAACCCGAGCGTTTTTTTATCAATATTCAAACAATCCACCCAAACATTCGAAAGAAATATTTCTACGAATATTCATACTTTCTATAACTTTTGAAACTGTTAGCGCCAATTATAGGGAATCTGGCAACGCTGACAGTTGACTCATTTAACATGTTACTTTCAGCGTGCTAATACATCGTTGGCGATATTTCTTCACTGCTAAATGTGAGGGCGAGGAGAGCGCACGGCGACTGAACGAGTTACGCGAAGCACTATCAGCACTGGGCCGGTCCCTATTACAGCCTGATATAGAGTTACTTCGCATCAATATAGAGACGCTGGATGCACTCAACTCTAAATGGAAACTTTACCACAAGGTACGATTTAGTAAATTAATTGTGCTTGAAAAAAAAGCTCTTTTTAACGTTGTTTTATATTAATTAATAAATTGAAGATTAATAGATTGAAATACATTTTTCATTAAGAATAACCTTTCTTAATGAAAAATGTTTTAAAAATCCACCAGCCCAAGTTACTCTTAGATGGGACTTGAACCCGTGTCCTTTTGCTATCCAGTGGACTGCTCTGAGCACTGAACTATCCGAAACCCACCAGGACTTTCAATTTTTTAAGCACTTGTTACTTTTCACTATATTAATTTCATCAATGTTCTGGCAATCCATCCAAACAGCTGAAAGAAAAATTTAAACTTTTGATTAAGAAGAAAATTTGTTATATTTTATCAAAATTTGTTATAATTGTTATACAATAAAGAAGTTTGTTAATGCAATAACTTTTAAGGTTTTAGTCGGTTGAATTTATTGGATTTAGGTAAGGAACAAAACAAGATAAATTTTAATGAAACTGCCGGATCAGCGACATTTTGTTTATGTCTAACTCAGGGGTCTGCAACCTGCATCTCTTACGTTGCAGTTTTCGTTCAAGTTCCATTTAATTACATGTAATCTATCCATTGTTGATTATCCATATCAAAATTACGAATGAAATGTGACTGAGAGATAGTAAAGGCAAAGTAATCACAAATATTAAAACTGCTGTACAGAATTAGGCCATATCTTTCTGAGGAGCTGAGAATTAGGCTGTGTGAGTTGCTTGTGCTGTCAAAGGTAAATTACTGTGACACTGTATATGGACCTTGTCTTATGTCTAGGACAGTCAGACTTATACAGCGCATACAAAATGCTTGTGCGCGATTCTGCTTTCATGTGCCACCTCGCACTCATGTCACACCTTTCTTGAATACTGCCAATTTGCTCAAAATGGAGGCACGTAGAAAGCTTCATCTTGCAACTCTATTATATGGTGTTATAGAAACAAAAAGACCAAGCTACCTTTATGATAAGTTGGTATGGGCTTGTGAAAACCGTAGGTATCCAGTCAGACAATGCAGCAACATTTTCGTAACTATAAAGCACCGTACAGTGGCATTCCGAGGATCTTTTAGATTTGCAGCCTCTCGATGTTGGAATGATCTTCCCCCACCACTGCGGGATCTGAAAACAATTAGCACATTTAAAAAAAAAGTAAAATTATATCTACTGCAAGTACAGAAATCATAACTTACAATCAAATATTTCACATTTAGTATATGATATCTGTATCACTTTACTGTTGGGGTTTCTCACGACTACTCGCCCTGGATCTGTTTCTGGTTGGGTGATGGTGGTGGATCACCGCTGACATGACCTTGCAATGAGAAGCTACGTATGGTGACTTGCTGCCTCCGGTCCACACACTGATAGCAGAAAATATGGTTAAATAACCTTACTTCAGTTACTGTTATCAACAGTTTGGTTGGAAGGCATTCCCATTTAAACTAGTTTTATTATTTTTTATTTATTTATTTCTTTATAATTTTTAAGTTGATTGGGTACTTACCGTAAGGATTGGCATGCGATGTATGAGGCTTGTGCTGTTTATAGTGGTATAATCTGTGGCGGGTAATTTCTTACACTAAATGTTTTATCTGAGATAAACCCTTGCTCAGGATTGCGTTCTGTCTGACACCTTGTTTTTTTGTTCTATTTTTTGTCACTACACTTATTATCACTATTCACAAGTTCATTTTAATGTGGAGTATGAATGCAGTAGCAGTGTTTGCTGGATATGATAGTGTATAGACATCCTTTTCTATTCGTTTGTAATTGGTGAACATTCCGTGAGTTGGGCACGTCTTGAATATGTGTTTGAAATATGATTTTTGATTTAACCAATTTTGATTTAATTAATAGTGTTTTAAATAATCGCACATAATGTAACGCTTGTTCTTCAAGTTGTTCTTGTTTGTTGTTACCATAGATAACACCCATGTTGTTTGTTTGCTACTCTCTGTTATTCTTAAATGACGGCAAAGGGATCCTACCCATGCCGTCTAACCTTAAATAATGTGTGTACTATTACTATTTTTTTTTATTTTTGTTGCAACTATTTATATGTTTTAATTTCATTTTTGTGTTTGGTCTGTACGTGGTGTCACTGCTGGCCGCAGCAGAATATCAGTGCAGTAGGCTCTGCTTACTGCTTGTACTGAGCTGAGGCCAGCTTTGACAACGCACACCATGGCACAGAGTATTGTATTGTTTTTCTTTTTTCATGTTTATTTTATTTTATTTCCTATAAGTATTATTATTTTTTTTTAAGTTGTATATTGTGTACGTGATGTTTGTTGTCAAAATAAACGAATTCAATTCTATTCAGTGGCTCTTTGAAAAGTGTTTTTTAACATTATTTTAATTTATTTTCTTTAATGTAAATCTTGTACTGTGTAATGTAATGTGCGTCGCAATTGATTGAAACTAATCCATCTATCGTAGCTTTTCGCTTTTGCGTCTCATAAGGTTGCCGACCCCTGGTCTATCTAACACGACGATCTCTACTTTTTCATCATCAACGTCATCATCATCATAATCAGCCCTTTTACGTCCCCACTGCAGGGGCTCAGGTCTTACTTATGGATGGTTAAGGAGGATGTGCCATGACCCTCCACGCTGGCGACCGCAAATCAACGACTGCAAATGCAGCCGAGACCAACGGCTTAACGTGCCTTCCGAAGCACGGAGTAGCTCGGGATAATAAATTTTTGGTCACCCATCCCGAGACCGACCCTTGCGAAAGTTGCTTAACGACAACGATCGCGGGCCGAGGTGCTTATCGATATATGTGTATCATAAGCAATCGATCATTGTCTACAGACCATATTCCGTAACGAGTTCCTGTCCGAGTTCCTGTCGGTGTTGTTGGCGAGTTTATCGGAGGGTGGTGCCCGCGCGTTGCTCCGCGATGAGGTGGTGGCGGCGGTACACAGTATGGCGGCGGTGGACTTCCACACGTTCCGCGCCGCGTTCTTACCTCACTTCCTCGCGTCACTACCGGGTCTTGCGCCTCACCATCGCGAGATGCTCGCCGACTTTCCACCGGATACGGTATTTATTATTATTTGTTGTTGTAACGGGCTATGTAGTTCCCGGGGGAACTGTACTGCGACCTTGTAACTATGCAGTTCCCTGAGGAACTGTAGTCACTGCGACCTTGAAGATCTATTGTGACTTACCGCCAGAGCTATAATAACTCCTTTAGCATGAATATTTAGACTTCAAGAAGTTAATAATATTCCTGGCTTTTAGAGATTTTCTATCTTCTGAGCTGATTATATGTCCCAGATGTATGCTTCGTTTGTGGATCAATGGTCTAAATTCACACATGAGATGTTTTGGTGTTTCACGTTCCTGTTTGCAATATCTGCAAATGTCAGTATCACTTAGTTTCATGTTAAATAGGTGTTTGTTTATACCATGGGAGCAAAACTGAATTTATGAAAAAAAATGTCAATTTTGTATTAAACAGCTGATTATTTTTTTCGTGAATTCAGTGCTGCTCCACTAGTAAAAACCATTCATTATATTTAACTAATCCACCCCACTAAGTCCTGGCATAAAATAATGTTACACCTTATATAATGTGGATAGTATGCATCGCCCGGTACAAAAAAGTTTGGAACTTTTGTGCGAAACCAGTAGTATTTTTGTAAAAAGCTTTGTGTTCTTTTCTATTTCTAGGATTTGCCAACATTCACTCAAAATATACAAAAGCTGATGAACGACGTGAACTGTTACCGGGCATATAATGCGCTATCTCCACCAGGCATGTCCGGATAGCACACGTTTCCACCTACCAGCTGAGAAGCGATGGACTATTGACCAATTATATCAGGGCTGTGATATCTATTTTCACTTAAAATTAAATACCCTTTAGTATAAGAATGAGTCTAATGAATATTTCTTAACTGAGAGTTCTTTAATGAGAATTGAATGGAAGTGTTATTTGTAGTTAGGAAAAAGTAGACTGCAATAATTTATATTCTTTTTGCTTATAATGGCGTACAAGTTGATTCCACTCGAGAAGCGCTCGAGTTCGGTGAAAGGGTCTTGCTCTCGTCTGTTTCTCGCATGTTAGGCATGCTATGCGGGCTGCTCTTGACATGCGAGTCTTATTGACTAATCAAATCGAGTTAGTCATGCTAAGCGGGCTCTTCACATGCGAATCTTATTGACCAATTAAATGCACGATGCTTTAGTGTAGATGCCGTTAAAGCGTACTTTTATCTAGTCGTCGTTGATCATCAAACCGATCAGATTATTGTAAGGACACTTGTTAAAGATATTGAAATCTCTTTCATCTTATTAGTTAAACGTGTGTTTATGAATGTTAACTGAAGCAATAGAATTAGGTGATACTTAGTTGTATTCTCGTCATATTTTTATTTCAAATGTGTTAGGCACATTTTTTTATTTTAATTGATTCCAGGTTAAATTCCACGTGCAGTATGTTTAAAAATACATACACGCATTTAAGTCTGCTTGGAAGGCTTGTAATAAAGGTATATTATTTCTGATTGTGGCATAGATTTAAGGAAACAATTTTCCTAATAGGTCTTACAAATTCAGGGATTTCTCAATATATTTCCCGTGTATGCGATTCGTCTCGTATATTGAATAAACTCAGTAAATGTTAGCATTTGCCTATGATTTGGGGTGCGGTGATATACTTATGTTATTTGTTTATTTTTATTTTTTAATTGTGATGGTGAAATTATAATGTTTTGTTTGTTTACCAAGAGTTACATAATCAAACTTTGATTTCATGATCTACTATATCGTAGTTATAAAAAAATTGCAATCAACTAAATTGGAGAGTACACTGCGTCTAATACATATTTCCTGATTTTTTATTTTTTAAAGCTCTATATAAAAATAATAATAATTTTTCTATTCTTAAGAAATAAGTAATGCTATTGACTGTCTGAACACGTCTCGGTTTTATTTGCTAGTCAAGTCAAAATTAATCGTAGATATCCGGAATCCATCTTGAGTCAAGCATCATCCTTTTTGTGACGTTTCCGGTCCAAAATACTACCTCCCATCTTACTTCCGGCGCCTGTGCTGCCATCTAGTTTGCGGGTAGCGAACCAATGACTTTTAGGCACGAACGCTTACCGTCATTATAGCGTCGTTTTTCGTGGCGAAAACATCGGTCCTACATAAAATGTGCACAAATTATACTTATTATTATATAGTTTAGTGTTAAAATTAAAATGAAATGAATATAAAATTAACCTCCCTTCGCGATGGAGCAACGGGACAGCGAAATAAACAAAGAAAACAGCATTGAAGCAGGCGTGTTTATTGTCTTCGAGCTCGTCGAACAGTGTCGTCGGATTCCAGCTCGGAGAGAGCAAGTAAGGTACAGAGGCGAGAAAAACTGTAAGTGATTTGCATTCGATTTGTTACCCCAACCAGTGACATTTTTGATAATGCATGATAAAAACTGGAAAACTAAATCCACCTGTGCATTTTTCCATAACAAAATAGCACATAGTATCCATACCAGGACCGCAATTATGGCAACCACAGCCACCATCACGTTCCCTACGACCCCACGGTCCTGAACAGTTCCTACTTGCAGCGGTTACGACTGGTGATAATTTTCTTTATGTACCTACTATAGTAAAACAATCAACATAAGTTCAAATAGGATTTATTTTTTCTTAATAACGTTAAAGACCCAGTCTATGGTGAAACCAAATTAGATGAAACATGCTCAAATTAAATTATAAGTTGAGGCGATTTGTTTCTGCTACAACAATTGATGATTTAAGATCTTTATTTGCGAGAAGAGAAATCATTATAGTTATATTTTATAGAAATGGTACAATCTACAGCATTAACAAATACCTTAACAGAATTAAAGTATGAAACAATTAGTTTAGAACTAGTTTACAACAAATTGTAGATTGATCTATTGCTAAAGACCTTAATGCTAAAGAGCTTTTTGATAAAATCTAATCAACATTCATCAAGGATTATATTTTCCAAATATTAAGTGGCAGACGCACTGATGTGTTCAGAGCCGTGGAGAAGTTTTTGAGGTGCCTTTACAGAAATTTTTGCCAAATTCAGAGTTCAAAGTCAAAGTCAAAATAATATTTATCCAAATAGACTTCTCTTTTGAATCGTCCAACATTTTTCCCCACCACTCGTTCGGGGCGTCTTTTGGCTGATAGGAAGAACGAACAAGTTCTTCTTTGATAATAGTATATTGCACCCAAAAAACAAGGGGGTGCATAAAATGGTTGCAACTGCAAGTTGATTCAAGGTAGATTACCAGAAGTACACACCAATATTTAAATGGTAATGAGACCAGTTCATTAAACTTTAGAAATAAATACAATGCATGACATGACACATTGGAGGGGGCTATCTAATGCGATCTGTAAGTTTATGGAACAATCAGGATGTTCCAGATTGCATATGTCGGATCTTGGGCGAGTGGCTGACCAGTTCCAAGGTGTCACCATTTCTGAGCTCCCGCATTCCACTCTCGGTCATGTTAATGCAGATAATGAGCTTTTCTATATTGTCTCTGGTCTGGGTGTTGTTACCTTCGTTGTTTCAGATTTCCATAATACAAGTGTTTAACTATATCATTTGGTATCTAAACTATGTAGGTATGTGATGGTATAAAAATTATATTTTTATGCGTGGGATTTTAAGCCATCTTCAAATATCGTTTGCAATGCTCAAATTAATATACTAGAGATTACAAAAAACACCCTGTTTTGTATCATTTCCTTTTCTAATGTTAAAGCCCGACAATTACATTTAAAACGACACTGATTTGTCAAAATAAAACCTTTTCGACTGATCAATAATTTTCGTATTCCGAACATTCTCATACAAAACGAATGGTTTACGAAAATATATCCGAGCCAAAAGTATTTTCATTTGAGTATCGCCGAACAACATCTGGTTCACAGGTTCTTGAGACTGGCATACAACAACCTACCTAATGCAACTGACGTGTCTCTTTGGACTGCCATCGGTACTCAAAAACTTTGCTACATAGACCAACACAACAACTGCGCTACCACAATAGCAGCGCTTAGGGTGGTCTCTCAACTTCGAGCAGTGCGTGCTGGTTCTGAACTTCCTCGGCGTTGCCTGGTGCATCGTGACCAACACGGTCACGAGGTGCCGGGAAGTGCCGGGGAAGTCAGGGGTAAGTCCCTGTCGGAACCGAAGTGCCTTACGCTACGCATGGCACTTCAGCACGAGGCGACTACACGTGGCGGTTAATCCCTCAGACAGGCCCAGTTCCTAATGGGGAGATTCGACCTTGCCTCGTTTGTGATTCGAAGAGGGTGATTACACTGTCGCACACTGCAATACTACCATCGACAGTTGCCCAAAGATCACCATTACCACCGAATCAAACTACCAGACTCAGTACAGAACATTCAGCGAAGTCACTGTTTGAACCGAACGCTTCACGCTACGCATGGCATTTCAGCATCAGATCGTACAAGGCGGTTAGTCCCTCAGACAGGCCCAGTTCCTAATGAGGAGACTCGACTTTGCCTCGTTTGTGATTCGAAGAGGGTGACTACACTATCGCACACTGCAATACTACCATCGACAGTTGCCCAAAGATCACCATTACCACCGAATCAAACTACCAGACTCAGTACTGAACATTTAGTGAAGTCCCTGTTTGAACCGAACGCTTCCCGCTACGCATGGCACTTCAGCATCAGATTGTACAAGGCGGTTAGTCCCTCAGACAGGCCCAGTTCCTAATGGGGAGACTCGACTTTGCCTCGTTTGTGATTCGAAGAGGGTGGTTACACTGTCGCACACTGCAATACTAACATCGACAGCTTAAAACTATTACTACCTATTCGGATTACCAGACCCAGTACTGAATGACTTTAAATGGTAAGTAACTGTTGTATCATGATACCTTCCAATAAATGCAACGCAAATCGCTCAACATCCGAGGACAGGTGCATAGGAAATCTGTTCGAGTGCTCAACTCGAGGCAATTACTCACGCGAGTCTTCATTTCGCGGAATGCCTAGATGTAAATGCTAAGAGAACTGTACTGATTCCCGTACATAAACAAAGATGGGGGACCAAATCTAGGATATTATTGTAATTATGACACGAACAAGGCAGATTCAGATATTATGCATAGCCTGAATACTAAATCTAGCAGCCCAACGTTCACCAGATGTGAACTTATTCCATCGACAAAAGCACACGTCATTCCCAGGTACATGACAATGGATGTGACGAACGAGCAAACTAATAGGTCATAACGCATGACGTCATCAGTGAAAATGCAAGCTGGCCTTATTCAAACATGATTCCGCAAATACTTTCTCGACTCCAGTAAGCGTCAAGGCAAGTAAGTACATTATGATTGTTCCAAAATGGGACGAAGTGTCTTGGCTGACGATTTGTTTCCGCAAATACTGCAATAGGTATGGCAACAGGTGTTCATCCCCCGAAATTCAGAAAATTTATTTAAAAGTCGGGCAGAATAAAATAAAATAAAGAAAATCTTGAAACTATCGAGTTAATGTAAAGCGACTATAAATATCTACTAGTATTAATTCTGCAAATAACAAGTGCCCGGTAGGGAAATTCTGCTAATGTCGGCGTAATGGTGGAGGGTCAATAGCGCTTCGACTACAACCCTTTATGACACATTCTTGTTACTAGATCATAAAATAATAAATATATCTGTCAATATTGAATTGTTAGGAAGACATTGCACAAATAATATTAGACTTCAGGTATATAGTACAATGGAAATTTTACGTAGAAATTGGCAGAATTGACTCTATTTAAGTTGCTGGAAATTTAGCACAATTTCACAATCTTCAAGGTCGCAGAATCCATTATTTAACCCTTTTAACCTTTGAAGTAACGAAAATGATTTTTTGTCTTATGACCCCCATTTTGTATTAAAAACAGATAATAGTAATTATGACAGCCTGGATAGAAATGATTAACTGACACAAATCATTCGATTGCATGTATTGGACACGCGATCAATTTTTGTATTGAAAGAGCCCCAAAAAGAAGTAATTTTCACGAGTTAACTACTCTGTTCTCAAAAATGCTAAATAGAAGCACATAATGTAGAAGATTCTTCAGGGTCTATTACATCTGCAGTTCCATCTCTAAATTGACTGGAATTGTTTCCGATGGATAAATTACTGAAACTGTAAAACTGGCGCCAAGAATATACTTTTAGGAAGTCCTATCGAAAACTGATAAATCGGACAATCAAGAAAATTCCGATATCTATGTATTTACATTTTTATTATTCCATTCAATTCATTAATGATATTGACCGATAACAGATAAGCCAATATTTATTTAGCTTAGATTACCGAAATACTTGAATAATTATTATAATTGCATTGTTATGTAACAGCATAATATATGCACTATGTATGTAATAGCGTAATATACTTATAATATGCATTATTTTTTCTCATCAGACTACATTTGACTTTTTATACCTGCAACACATTATAGCGTCACCAATGGCACTCACCAGGAGATAACAAACACATCACTCAAGATGGATTCCGGATATCGAACGGAACAAATAATAGAGAGTTTTAACTACCAATAAAACTTACCTATTATTTTTCCTAAAGATATCCGGAATCCAGGTAAGTTCTACCTGGTGCATCTAGAGTAGGTATAATGACGGTAAGCGTTCGTGCCTAAAAGTCATTGGTTCGCTACCCGCAAACTAGATGGCAGCACAGGCGCCGGAAGTAAGATGGGAGGTAGTATTTTGGACCGGAAACGTCACAAAAAGGATGATGCTTGACTCAAGATGGATTCCGGATATCTTTAGGAAAAATAATAGGTAAGTTTTATTGGTATTTTGTTGATATGAAGCTGAAGAGTGATAATTTTGCTGTAGTTTATTTAACATTATATATTACCACTGGAAAATTATAATCTTTGTCAGTTTATAATCTTACTAAAGTTATTATAACCTTACTCAAACTAAACATACTATAGTCTATCAATCGAACTAGACGGATTATAAACTGTCGATGTTAGAACCTGCCGAGTGGGTTATATATGGATTTAGGCAAATCATAAATCTGTCGAACTATGCTTACTACTGCAGCGCTTGTGCAAATGTTTAAATATTTTAGTAAAAGTAAGAATTAGTTTTTACATGGTTCTAACAATTAAATGTAATTTACTTGTTCACAAACATTAAAATGCAGGCGTGCCAAATTATAAGTATAATAGAACGCAAAAGATTAATGCCCGTTTTCGGTAGGAGTCACCCAAACCTGACACCTTTGGGTATTGTCAAAGATAAAATTGCCGCCTAAAGTTAGGACACACATTGCGCGCCTAGCGTGAGACGACGAAATAAAAGAACAATGGCAGAAAATATATGAGCGTCGAAAGAAAACTATTCGTATCGCTATCTCTATAAGTGGTCGTTTTGTTGACGCAATATATTAGCCGCGGACACCACCCCGCCCGCCCTAGGAATAGATTCACATATTTCTAACTGATATTGTAAATAGTAACTAGGAAATATATACGCAATCCAATATGAAAAGTCATACATAATCATTTTAAAAATTTCCAATATTTTTTATAAATTAAATTAAAAATATACTTTATTAGCTTTGAAACTATGTCGCTTTCTCTAATTTAACAATACAAATTGCTCACAATATATATTATTCATACGGAAACGGACTGCCATTATTAATATTGTGATCTTACTAAGTTGTTATGTTTATCTTGGTAGATTTTTGTTCTTTTATGCACTTTAATAAATAGGTACTTTATTTTTATAGTTTGAACTGAATGCATTTAAGTGCTTTTTATAATAAATAAATCGGATTATATTTTTTAATCCTAAAAAATATCTATGTAGGGTTTTTTTTGCTTTATATTTACTTATTTAATGTTATATTTTATGTAACATTATATTGCTATTATGTAAATTAATATTGTAGTCTGGATGCAATATATTATACGTTATTCCAATAAGAAACTGGATGAATTAACATTTACTTAAGTTGTATATAAGGTATTGTAAATAAATTATAAATAACATGTTATACAGTGTTTTTATTTTCTTATTTCTTCCTGCATGTGTTCAAAATTTAATGTTATTACCACAGAAACGAAACTTATACTTCAAGATGCATGCTCAATAGTTGAAAACTTATTATTGGCTAGATTATATTGTTCATTTAGTTTAGAGTAGGTATAACTAATTTGAAAATCCTTCGATTAATAATAGGGCACAGGCGTATACACTTCATTTTAAACCTTCATTTTTATCGTAATACTAGCTGACCCGACAGACTTTGTCCTGTCAAAAAGATTTGTAATGTGGCAGTTTTTTTGCCTGCGTATTTAAAAAAATTCTCCTGAACAGAACCGTCACCCTGGTGATAGGGCGTTGTGAATAAAAAATAATTAAATAAAACATATATAAGGATTTAAAAGTAAGTAATCGCTTTATTGTTAATCATGTGAATCATAATTATTATTGCAATGTATTAATAGTAATAGAATTAAATATAGAAAAAAGAGATTTTTATGATCATAAAAACACATTACACACAACAGCATTATAAAAGTAAACTATTCGAATTAAAAAAATATATAAACATTCTCAAGGAAAAATGCTGGAAGAATCCATCTACCTGTACCCCGGAATGGGACTCGAACCCATTCGCGATCCAGGGACTGCTCTAACCAATGAGCTATCTAGGACCCAACAGCTTTGCTACTACAGAGCGTATTTTCATCAATGTTCCGGCAATACATGTAATGACGTGGAAACTGATGCATTTTATCTCGCGTGCCGAAACTAATACAAAAGAAACGTGAGTTTCGGAACGCGACATTAAACTCCTCCAACTATGTATTCTGTGCTCCAACGCACACACGCACATTGTTTTGATAGATATGATCTTTGACGTTAGGAACACACCTACATTGCTTAGACAACAGTGAGTGCTTGTAATTTAATATGAACTTTATACCATAGCAATAAAGCTCAAATTGACTACGTTTTAGTTACAAATCATTTGTATGGGAAAAAGAAAAGGGCTATTTTTAGGGTTTTTCCAGCAATAATTCTAATTTTTCTCGCCGTAAAAACCATCCTTGAACTTCAACGAACATTTTAAAAAAAGATTTGGCCAAATTGGTCGAGGCTTTGTTGAGTTATGCGCTTACCAACACATTTTGCGATTCATTTTTATATATATAGACTAGCACATTATAGTTCAAAATCAAAAGTTTGACATTATGTATATATTATTATGGTAGAGTTTGTAACTTTGTTTGTTTAAGGGGGTAATCTTCAGAAATACTGATACAATCATGAAAATTCTTTCACCTCTTTTGCACAAATATCCAATAAAATTGGCTTAACTTTAAAGCGACATTACCAATACAAATTATCAAATGCCTGCTATCTTGATCTTTCGGAGGACCAGCTTAATAAACTTGAGCGTTTACAAAACTTTTGTATCCGTTTCATATTTGGTTTGCGCAAATATGACCATGTTTCTCATTTCCGTTCTGAACTCGAGTGGCTTCCTATACGTCTTCGCCGGAATTCTCATATATTATCCCTTCTCTATAACATGTTGTTCAATCCTAGTTACCCTTGCTATCTAAAAGATCGTTTCAGTTTTCTGCATTGCTCAAATTCCTATTCTTTGCGATCATCGGAGAACCTGTGTCTTGCGACTCCATCTCATCATACTTCATTTTATGATACTTCTTTTACCGTACAAGCTGTTCGTCTATGGAATTCTCTTCCTCTTTCAATCAGGCGAGCGCAATCCTTACAAATATTTAAAAAATATGTTAAAGAATACTACCTCACACAATAATATAACTTAATGCTGCCGTATTATCGCTTTTTCCTGTTTTGATATTAATAGGTGTATGTATATATTTATATATGTGTGTATGTATATATGTATGTTTATGTTGTTAATAATTATATTTTTGCATCGTATTTATTTATTGTACATTTGTATGTGTATTTAGCTCGAAATTTTTTTTTTTTATACTTTAAATAAATCATTAGTGTGCCTCAATGATATATTGTTAACAATTAACATTCACACCCCCATCTTCATTATTCATGTTATCTCTCTCCATTGACTGGTTGCCCGGCAGAAATCGCTTTAAGCGATAAGGCCGCCAATTGTTACATAATAGTGTTAATTTACTATAAAATTGATTAAGTTTTTATTAAACCTTAATGGACGTGCGACCTATCGATAGGCTTTCATTTATATGGGCGAAGTCGTGGGAAAACAGGTAGTATTCATTATAGTAACCTGATATGCTACTGTGTGTATGTAGAATTTAAAAAGAATATGCATTAAATTTTGCAAACAATTTTATTGGCCTCTTAAAACTAGAAGGCGCCTTTTCAAAGTTTCTTTGACAATCCCTTCATGACTAGCGTATAATTTTATATCAGGTGTGATGTCGACCCAGCGGACTCCGACAGCATCATCTCCTGCATTGAGTGTGATTGCTCCTACTGTTGCGCCGCTATCATCATGAAAATTATAAGCTACAGTTTCCATCCATGCATTATCAGTATTACGCCAATCATCGACATATCCTTTATAAACTATTTCGCCTTCACTGAAAAATTTTCTTAGCTTCTCTGTCCAGGCATTTTTTAATTCTGAAACATATAATAAAATTCATTGTTAGTCATGGCCTTACATGGTTTTGAAAAATTAGTCTATATTTCTCACAAGCTTCCCTGTAAATGAAAAGACAAAGAAAATACTTTCCTGCTTTTGACTCATAGTAATACACAATAAACTTTTTTTTAATTATTTGAGTATTAAACAACATTTTAAGTTACCTTGTGACATGGTAAGGGAATTCATTGCCTCTTCTTGAAACTCCCTGACAGCAGTTGCTGTAACTTTTTCACCAGGATCTACCATGCCGCCAGGTAAAGCCCATTCTCCAGTGTCTCCTCTTTTTACAGCAACAAATTGTAGGATTGGTCTGAAATATTTAAATATTGAAAATTTACAAAAGGCCAGTGTGTCTTCACTGGCAAAATGGTATAACATACAAGTACAGGTTAAAATCTTCACCTGACTGCTTATTGAGTATCCTAACCTACCACTATGTTCTCACATTTTGATGTTACTTAATGCTTCTTGGTTTTTTCTTTAGTTTTGTGATAAAATTATAATCTGTTAGATAGGTAGTCTGTCAATTGTAAGTTTAAATAGTAATTTAGTATTTGTAAGCTGTGTACTGCCACTTTAAATAAATATGTAACTTTTGTTCACAGCTCCAGTATGTGAAAAATTTACTTCTGTGCATCTGAAGGCAGACTTTCCAAAAAAAGTTTTAGTTTAAATTTTTTATAAAATAATCTATATCTACTTGGTGTAAAAATAATTCAAATACTTGTGATTCAAATGAATCATAATGAGAATTTTCATTCATTGTAGATTTAATTTTCCTAAAGCAATATTTGTGAAAATAACATGCTAAAAGTTATAATAAGAGTTAATTACTATATTTCTAAATTGTGTCAAATACTTTCAATGTATACAAATATACTTACTCATTATTAGTATTGTTCTCAATGCTATCTCCATTGAGACGTTTCCAGCGAGTGACAACAGGATCTGCTGCATGGTTTGGTCCCCAGCGGCCTAAGATACCTCTACCAGATATGCCTGTGCGTCCGATTGGATTTTGTGGTCGTTCATTTAGGATTTGGTAAATACCTTGATGACTACTTCTATCTACAGTTCCATCTATCATGTTCCATTTCGGTACAAAATTGGGGCTTCCTACGATTATTCAATGATTTTAAGATTTGTAGATGTTAACAATCTCAAAATCTCAATGGTATAATATCTTACCTATATCTGGATCAGCCCATGGTTTCCCATTAATATTTGGAGAAGTGTAATCAACAGGTTTGTATTCATTGTACTCTGTAGACCAACCAACTTTGTCATTGGGAACTGGGAATCTTTCTATTGTAGATCGTGGATAAACACCACCACGACATTTGAAATGTGTAGACACCATTGCAAAGCTTTGTTTTAACATTAAAATTGCAATAATTATTGTCCTAAAATTAATAACATCAAACATCTGTTTTTATTTGTAGTAAATAACTCTTCTTCTTCTTATATATATATATAGTAATTATCTCGAGTTTCGAATTCTTGATCTCGGAATGGCCTATTTGCATTTACACAATTCCGCCAATGTCACGTTTGTGGTCTTTACACGTATAGAAACAATAATAAAATATGTAAAATTTTGAATTTCAATAAAATAAAAAAAATAGCTCTGAGCGCGTCTATCTGATTACATTGTTAAAGATAATACAAATAGAATGTATATAGAAAACAAATATATTTATAAATTAAGACTATTATTGATTGCAAAGAATTTTGCTAAAATTTTGAATGGGCTGGGATTCTCCATACTCAAGATACATTTTATATTTGTTGGACGTGGAACTTTTGATGGTAGCAAATCATAAAGCGAAATGGATAAATTTGAACAATTAAATAAAATATGATCCGTAGTTCCTTCCTCAATGCCACAATCGCAGAGGGGGTTGTCTTTAATTTTAAATTTGGCAAGTCGAACCGGCGTACACACATGTCCAATTCTCAGGCGACAAATAATTGAAATCGTTTTTTTACTTAAAAGCTTTTCCTTAAAGAACCAGGGAGTACTGGGGATAGTTCTCTGAATTTCAAAATAATACTTTCCCGCTCTATTTCTAGTATTTTCCCAATCAACATTCCATGACCTCATTAAATGTTCATGTGCTAGTACAAAGAGATCGTGATGAAAAAGTTTGGAATATTTTAAAGAGCCAGTTATAACAGCTTGCTTAGCACATGCATCAGCTGTCTCGTTCCCAGGAATACCACAGTGTCCCGGTATCCATGCGAGGGTAATGAGCAGCTTCTTAAGATGGCACCTATGCAATGCTTGTCTTATTTTAAATATTATTGGAAATTTATTTTTAGAACGAAACGGATGTGATATTATAGACTGTAAGCAACTCTGTGAATCTGTGAAAATGATAGTTTTGTTAAAGTTATGAGATTCGGCAAATAGGATGGCCTCAAGGAGAGCTAAAGCTTCTCCTGTAAATACAGAAGAGAGAGAGGGAATTTTGAAACTTAATACTAATCTGTGAGCGGGAATCCATACTGCTGATCCAACTGGATCATTAACATGCTGCTTGGACGCATCAGTGTACATAGAAATCCAGCCTTTATATTCCGATGCTAATTTCCGTGCCATTGTACGCATGGCATATGGAGAGTCTTTGTCGATTCCAAAATCAAGAAGAATGATCGGCTCAAAAATAAGTGATTCAAAGCTATTTTCAAAAAGAGGAAGACGAGAATACCGTTCTATGGGAAGGGAAGGAGTATGGAATTTTTTGTAGCTATGGAGGATACAAGAGACACCTACCGATGAACTGGAGGAAGTACTAGAAACTTTCAACAATATTTATAATTTTTTAAGTAAAGGATGGGATGCACGTTGTATAACTTTAAGGAAAAATCGATCACTCAAAAATTGCCTACGCAGATACAGATTTCATGGCACCTATAATAATCCGCAAGCATTTTGATTGAACTTTAGAAATTTTATCAAGTGGCAACTTATTACATGGGTCTAAAAGAAAGGAACCATAATCGAAATGACAGCGGACTAGGGCATTATATATTAATTTTTGAGTGAATGGATGAGCACCCCACCATACACCCGAAAGAGCACGGAGAACATTGACCCCTTTCTCGCATTTATTTACAACACTATGGAAATGAGGAGTTCCTGATAATTTAGAATCTAGAATAACGCCTAAAAATTTTACTTGGTTATTCATGGGAATAGGGACATCTTGAAAAACTATTTGAGCTGTAGGAATGTTACGCTTTCTGGTAAACACTACACTGCAGCATTTAGAAACTGATAGTGACAAGCCGTGATCCATTAGCCAATCACCAAGATAACTTAACGCAGTATTGAGACGAAAGCAAGCTTCCTCGATTGAATTCGATCTTATATAGAGGGCTACGTCATCTGCATACTGTAAGACTTGACAGAATGAATCTACAACACTCTCTAGGTCATAAGTATAAATACTATATAGCAGGGGACTCAAAACCGACCCTTGAGGTAGACCATACCAAACAGACCTGACTATAGAAGGCGCTCCATGACATTTGATTTCGATAGACCTAGCTGAAATAGAATTAACTATGAATCGAACCAACTTCTCAGGAACACTCAACTGAATCAATTTACGTCTGAGAATTGGAAGAAGGACATTATCATAGGCGCCTGCTATATCTAAAAACGCAGCAACTACATATTGCTTTTTCTTAAAAGCTATACGAATATCAGTCGTAAGTATACTTAAATTATCCAGAGTGCTGAAACCCTTTCGAAAACCAAACTGAGATTTAGCCAAAAGACCTTGACTCTCAAAAAACCACTCTAGACGATTCCTGATCATATGTTCTGACACTTTGAAAAGGGTGGACGATAACGCAATGGGCCTATAAGAATTATAGTCCAAAGGGTCTTTGCCAGGTTTAAGCAGAGGGATAACTAGTTGCTTATTCCAGGATTCAGGGATGATACCTAAATGGTAAAAGGTATTAACTAATTTCAAATAATATAGTTTGGTTTCTTCCCTCGACTTAACAAGAAACGAATATGGAATACCATCTATACCGGGGGCAGTATCTCTAAGACCTCCAAGTGCCAAGTCAAGTTCCCGCAAGGTGAAAGGATTATCTAAATTACCAACAGATGGGATGATGTCATATGTTTTTATAGGAAGATAGTCACAGTTCGGAACAAACGAGGGAGCGAGTTTATCAGCAAATGAGGTAACCCATCCTGATGGATCGTTAGCTGACACAGATTTTGACCTCATAGAACCACGAAATCGATTCATTTGTCTCCAAACCATGCCTGCGGAAGTGCGAGGAGACATGCTTTCGCAAAACCTAGTCCAACCAAGTTTCTTTTTTTGAGATAAAAATTTTTTGGAGTGAACAGCTATTTGTTGGTACTGAGAGAAGTTTTCTTCAGTCATAGACAGATTGTATTTCTTCTCTGCTTCCTTTCTCTTACGGATAATGTCTGTGCATTCGGAATCCCACCATGGTGGAGAATTTCTTTTACGTATCGTTGATTTCGTGGGAATATGAGAATTGGCAGAACTGAGAAGAGTTTCCGTGAAGGCTTCATATGCAGTCAAACAACTTGCATTGGAAATCTCAGGTAATGAATTTAATTTATTTTTAACTTCTAAAGAAAAACATGTCCAATCAGCTTTATTTAAATCAAATTTCAAAAGGGGAGTACTACTGAATGTTGTGAGCGTACGGTCAGGTAAAGTTAAAAGAATGGGAAAGTGATCACTACCAAAGGTACTACTTAAAACATCCCATAAAAAAAGAGAAGATAGACGCGAAGAGCAAATGGATAAGTCAACTGCACTCTGGTTCTGTGATGGGGAGTTTCTCCTTGTAGGTCTACCATTGTTCAAAACACATAAGTCCAGCTCATCTAATAAATCAATAATTAAACTGCCAAAGGTATCGGAGTGATAGGAGCCCCATGACTCATGATGAGCATTGAAATCACCCAAAATAAGCACAGGCGGTGGTAAAGCAGAAATAATTACCCGGAGTTCCAATAAAACAGATACATTTGGGTGTGGGATATATAACGAAAGAAAAGAAATATTATTTATTCTAACAGCAACAGCATTAATTAGATCCCTATTATGAACAGGAAGTGGGACTTGAGTAAATAGTAGGGAGTTACTAATAATGAGAGCACTTCCTGCATAACCATCATCTCTGTCATCGCGCAGACATAGATATCCAGGAATATTGAAAGAAATATTCCTAGGAAGCCACGTCTCCGAAATGGCAAAAATAAGAGGAGAGTACTTATATATAAAATATTGGATTTCATGCTTTTTAGAACGAATACTATTGCTGTTCCACTGAATTATATTCAGAGGAGCCATTTTTGGTTAATAAATTTAAAAGAGGTAAAATTTTCGGAGCTACGTTGGGCGGTAATGGTACGTCACTGAATTTCGACAAAATATTAGCTACAAGCAACCACAGAAGATCAAGACAATCGTCATTCGGAACTATATCATTAGTGCTCGAATTACCAAGGGCACATCCATTAGGAAGAGTTGGAGGACAATTCCTAATTATGTCCTGGTGAGCCTGCTTGTCATATTCCTTCCCCAGGGCAGAATGTTGTCGAGGAGAGAGGAAAACAGTCTTTTTATAAGAACGAGAAGTCAGAGGTGAGGGTTGAGAATGCACAATTTGAGGTACGGTTGTAGTCGAAGAATTTACTGACTCAGAGTACAACCTTCTTACATTGGGATATAAAGCAGAAGCTTCTTGGAAAGAAATATTATCTTGAGTCATTCTAATTTTGATCGACTTTTGGCGACACTGTTCAGGACAGATCTTGTTCGTAGCAAAGTGTTTACCAGAACAGTATAAACACGAAGCAATATCTTCTGTAACATTACAACTCTCTCCCATATGCGGCTGCGCACAACGATAACATCTCGGTTTAGATCGGCACTGAGATTTAATATGTCCAAAACGGCAACAATTGTTGCATTGGATAATTGGGAGTTGATATGGGATAACGGGAATAGAGGTATAAAAAGAAAAAACTCTTTCAGGGAGATTTTGTCCTTTGAATGTTAAAACAACTGATTGGGTAGGGATCCAAGAAGCATGACCATCTAAAACTCGTTTTCTATTGAGGCGTCTGGCTTTTAGAACCATCCCACAGTAATCAGGAATAACTAAAGAGTCGACCAGCTCGTCCATGCATATTTCCGTTGGAATGCCTCTAATGACACCCATGCGTGTAACATTAAAAGTAGGAATTACTACAGTATAATTGTAACGAGCTAATAAAGGATTTATTAAAAAGTTATTAGCATCCTTACCAGTTTTAAATTCAACAGCAATACGGTTGCGGCCAATTTTTTTGACACCATCCTTAACTATATTGGTGATTTTGTTTTGCTTTAGGAATTGCCCGAAAATAATTGGTCGAATAGTAGTTCCAGTTGAAGGATTTGACTCAATCTTTGAAACGTGTATAATAAATGGGCCCTTATCAAGATCAGA